AGGTTCATTGAACTGGGCCATCTCCCCCAGGCACGCACATGTTCAATGCCTGATTTAACTAAGCAGCAAAGAGAAGGTCTGGGCTGGGCACGCCAGCTTTCCCAATGACGAGAGACCCCAAGGTGGGCAAGTGTGCTGCTAAATGAAGGTTAATTACCGTGATCTGATCTATTTCTTAGAAGGCAGGAACTTAGTAAGTAGAAGTTCCACACGGTACAAAACACTGCTAGAGGGCCTTCAAACCAAACTGAGCTCTGCCCTTGAAGAAGTCACTGTTCTGTTTTCATTATTTGATATGTCTCATCTCACTGCATACGTTCGTTAATGTTACTAATTAACTAGTGTAAATAATTGTCATTTCCTAGTGCTGCTGTAACAGAAATACCACACGTGGGTGACTGTAAGGATCCCTGTCATGGAGGCTGGAAGTCCGAATGCAGGCTGTGGCTCTAGGGGGAAGTCCTTGTCTATTTCACCTTCTAGTAGCCTGCAGCCCTTGGCATCCCTGGGCTCGTAGGTTCATCTGCCTCCCTGGTCATCAAACAGCATCTTGGTCCCCATTTGTGCTTGCCTGGCTCTGCGTCTTCATATCACTCAGCAGTGATTAGGGTTAGGACACAGCCTGTCTGCACTCATGTGGCCCCGTTCACATGACAAAGAACCAGGTAGGGGGTCAGGACTGCCATATACATTTTGGGGGCATCATTCAATCTATACCAATGACACTAACAAGTAGACATTTAACATAGGATTCTGCTCTTTTTTTTGTTTCGTTTTTGAATGAAATGGCCATTCATTGATGTATTTGCTCAACAACTATTACTGATGGTCTGCTGAAGCGTTTGGCCTTCCAGCTCTAAGTCTATAAAGTGAGATCACATTGGGGGGTGTTTCAGACACAGCTTTGAACCTGTTACAGCCACTTGCACCAGTGGCCGCCCACTGCCAGCGAGTAGCGGAGCAGCCCAGAGTACAGGGAGCTTGGGGACGTCTGTGAAGTCCTGGGATGTAACACATGCTGGCTTGGTGCTAGAGATGAGACCCCAGCAGCAGTGTTCGTCACGTGTGTGCCACAGGGCTGGCCCCCGACAGAACACTTGAGGTGCTTCGTCTCCTCTGAAATCCCAGGTCATCAGACTCCAGCCCCTGGAAGGCACCCATGTGATGCCCTCGTCCAGCAGCCTCGCCTCACAAAGTGAGTCAGTGAGAGCCTCTGAAAGAAACTGGTTTAGGGTGTCCTCACTGGTTCTAGGCAGAGCTGGGACTCCAGCCTAGTTCCTCTGAGAGTGGTTGTCCCATAATGGCACCAGGCACCTCTTCTTCTCCCACCACTCAGCTGGGGAATCTCCGGATCCTTTTCCACGTGCTTAACAATGGGACCACGTATTGAAGATACACTTCTCAAAGCCGAAGCCCCTTGGAGAAATGCCTACAAAGATTCTAGTGTCACGGAGAGTAGTAATAGGCCCTGACACAGTGAGAAACCTAGAGGGGGTTTAAGACCAAGTGGCAGGGCTGAGAGTGAGTGAGCAGTGCGAGCCTTGGCCCCCGGCGGCACTGGGTACTGCTGGAGGGCGGACTGACACCAACTTGGTCATTCTTTTTGAAATCTCAGAGATGAATTTACAGTTGAAAACTGTTTTGAAAATTTAACTACTGAGGTTAAGAACAGTGTTTGGAGCATGAAGTGAAGCAGTTATGTCATTCTCAGTCAGGACGGTGCATTGGTTTGATCGGATTAAAATGTCCATAAAATCAGATTAGAAATCAGGCCTCTGGTTGTGGTTGCCACTGTCATACTCATGGGCCTTTGGGTGGCCATAGAAAGCCACACCACTCTGGCTCAACTCCAAATTCATGCTGTCAAGCCGATTGCAACTCATAGTGACCCCCAACTGGTTTTCAAAGGCTCTAAAACTTTATGGGAGCAGACTGGTTCATCTCTCTTCCATGGTGTGACTGGTGGGTTTGAACCACCAACCCTTTGGTTAGCAGCCTTAACCACTACACTTCCAGAGCTGCTGCTGCCACTCTGGTAGCAGGTGGAAATCAAGTCCATGTCGGTACTTCATAGTCACGTCTTCAGTGATAGTGATAGTCGTAGTCAGTCTTCAGTTCCATGGTGCTGAGGGCCTGGTTGGACCTTTTCATTTTTCTCTTTTCAAATAGCAGAGTTCCCCACACACGCATGATGAGGAAGGACCCTCTAGGTTTTGGCCGGAGGATGGGAGGTTGTGACAGCGTGTCCTGTTTCATACATCAGTGTGTTTGAAGTGATGACAAAGTGAGACTGTGTAAAAAGTGGCAAGGGGACAGCGTTGTGGGGAAGAAGACCTAGGTTCAAGTTTTGCTTCTACTCGTGCTGCCGTGGTGACCTTAGATGTGTCTCTGACATTCTCTGGGCCTCAGTTTCCTCACCTGCAGAATTGGGATGATAAACTGGGGAGTGAAGACTGAGTGGAATAAGGCACCTGGGAAGAGTCTGTCACCGTAGAGTAATTCTTGTTTCTTTCTGAATTCGACTCTCCTCCCTCAGCGCGTGTCACGTCTTCTGTCGCCTCAGCCTGGCTCTCCTGAAGGCCCTTGAATGAGTCTAAAGAGAGTCTGTGCTGCTCATTGGAAGAGCCGGGGCCCAGCCACCCTCACATGCGCCCTCTTTCAGCTCCTCCCTGCCCTTCCCTCCATGGAAACATTAATTGTCAGCCTGTTTCTCTAAAGGAAAAACTGATGAAAACACCAGAGGCCACTGTGAATCCCTTGGGAGGATGAGCCCTCTGAGCTCTGCTGGGCTTGTGCCCAGGCTCCTCGTCAGCACGCCACGTGGAGCCTGCTGCCGGCCGTCCACAGCCAGGCCTGACGGCTCCCGGCCCATCTGGAGCGGGGCTCAGATACTAGCTGGCACCCCTAAGTGCAGTTAAGAAGAGTCTTGTGGTTAAAGGACGCTGTTAAAAGTAGGATTTGGATATTGATGTATAAAATAATTTCAAGCAATAACCTAATGGTGAGCTGATTTATTTTTTGTAATTGCAAAGCATTTATCATTTTGAACAAAGAGTGATTCCCTTCCAAATACACTATGTGGTGAGAACTGCACCCTGGGAAACTTTTGTCCTTATACTGTTCAGGAAATCTCTGTGGTGAAAGTCTTTCATAAGCAAATATGTTTAAATATCATCTTTAGTGAAAGTTGACAGATGGACAAATTTCACTTTCAGAACATCTTCAGGTGGAGGTTTAGCCAGCAGGAGCCAGTGTCAGGATAGGTCTGCACTGTTTACTTCTGGGTTATTGGTCAGAACAGGCTGCAAGGGCTTCAGAAGATGTAACTCTCCCATAGTCCCAAAAGGAAAGAGAACTAGGCATGTGTAAGCTTCGGGGTCTCCATTGCTGTGGGGAGAACTAGGAATGTGTAAGCTTTGGGGTCTCCATCACTGTGGGGAAGCAAACATACAAAAAGAGTGTTACCCTTTTAACTATCTTCTTTTAATTTCTCATTGTCTGACAGCTGAAATTCCAATTGTGTATTGAACAGACTGACTCTTAATTTCACACTGCCTTCTCTCATGTCTTTTCATCGTAGTGTTAACAATTTTCATATCAGTGACACATCTTTGGAAAGGTGCTGCTCAGAACAAATGAGCAGGATCTTTTCCCTGCTGGCTCCACCCAACCCCCTAATCCAGCCACCCTTCCCAGCTATTCCACTGCTTCTAGGGTATTTGACCGCACAAGTTAGTCATGTCAGAAACCACTATGGGCTGAGTTAAGTCAGGCTGTAACGTGTACTTTGAAGTCACAGGCTGATGCCATAGTGTCAAGTTTATTGAACACCTACTGTGTGTCCAGGACTGAACCAGGCCCCAGAGAGCATGGAGAAGTGTCCTGAGTGCTCCCTTGAGCTGATGAGCCTAGTGGGAGTCAGAAGAGGTATACACACATGGCTCACCCTACCTGGCAGGTGTGCGACTGTTGATTTCCCAACAGGAGGCCAACGAGCTTGAACTGGGAGGGAACTCTTGCATCTGGGGTGGCCAGTGTGATATGGATGGGGCACTGGAAGAAGGACTAGACAGTTGGTTGATACAAGTGATGGGAGATGCCATTCAGGGAGAATTAGCAGTATTAGAAGAAGAAGCACAAACGTGAGAAGTAATAGTATTTTCGCTCCGTGTGCCTGAAAGCACATTGACACGGTGTCATGTCGGTCAGTCATGCCGGGCTGCCTCGTGGAGGAGACTGAAGTCAAGACATTAGATTAGGTTGCTGGTTCCTTAGGACCATGAACTGTGTATTTTCCTTCCTTTATTTCTCTCTTCTTTCATTTCTTTTTCACTAGGATACCTGCCAGTGTTTTTGGGGTAGTAAGTAAAATGCTTATATACAAACTCTCTTTTTGGTATGTTTGCAGCTCCAAGAAACTCTTGGTAGTAATTATTCCCACAGTTGCTCATGTGATCTTTGAATACCACACCTGCGTTGTTGTCTGCCTGCTCAATGCGGACCAGTGTGATAACCGCTGCTGCTCAGGGCCTGTGATCCCTGAGGTGTGCCTCGAGCAGGCTTGTTTCCTATTGGCTGGGAGGTGCAAGAGGTTACAGGGGGAAAGGGAGGAGCCTGGGGCTGATCAAGAGGGACGAAATGGGGCACTTGGTGGGGAGGGAAGTAGAGTCGGGTGACAAGTTATTTCTGGGCATAAAACCAAACCAAACCCAAATCCTCGAGACGTTGTGCAAGTTAAATGGTGGGAGTTATGCAGCAGGTGGAAGGGAAATTGAAAGGGAGGAGATTGTCCAAAGGTCCCAAAATGAGTGAAATTAGGCTGGGGCTGCACCACACTGAAAATATTTTACTTGATGTTGAAACTTAGTATTGACAGCTGAAGCTGCAATATGTTATATTTCTGTTTCGTGGTCCCCTTGGGGTCCTCGGGTGCTGAAGGCCTATAAATGACAGAACGAGGGAGGGGCCGCATTTGATGTTCTCTTTTGCTTTTTTTACAGGAAACACCAGAAACAGCCCACCACCCTATGGGTTTCACCTCTCACCGGAAGAAGAGATGAGGAGGAAGCGGCTTCACAGATTCGACGGCCAGTGAAGGGGCACAGCTTGTGGACAACACGGTGCAGCTATGGAGGGGTTCCCCATTCTGTCTGTTCCCCACGCCCCTAACTAGTTCTATGCAAAAGCAGAATACACCCAGACTGTTGGCCCCTGCCTGGCCCCGGGGTCACGTGGCCCCTGGGCCTCCAGATCCAGAAGCCAGAATGACTGGTGTTGAAACCAGACTTGCTGAATGTGTCTCCCAGCTCTCTGGTGGGGTCCTTGTGCTAGCGGGGTTCTCTCTCACAGCCCGATGCCAGTCCCTCAAGTAGGGACCCGTTTCTGCACTGCGGTCTCTCCCTCTACCCCGAGGCCTCGGCCTGGTCTTGCAGGCTGACTGTGATCTTCACCAGGGGTTGTGCGCTCTCCCGTCAGGACAGCCCGTCCCTCGCTGGGCCTGGCCTGGCCCGTGTTTGACTTGGCAGGAGGTGAGCCATCCTCCCCGGGCCTCCTGGCCCGTTGCCGTGGTGACTTTCTAGGAACGGGATGTGGCTACCTTAACAGTACGTTCCCTTCTTTCTTGGCCAGATGCCTGGGCTCGTCATGCCCGGGTCTGGTGGTGTTTACAGCATACTGCCTTCGCTTTTCTATTGTTCTGCCTTTACAGAACTTCTACTGAAGAAGCTCAAGTAAGACCCAAGACGAGGAAAACCCTACACCACTCCATTCCATGTCATCAGCCCCACCTTGTGGGCTGGCTCACTGCTGTCTGTTAGTGGCAGCATGTGAACATGGGACAATGACTTCTGTCAATAAGGCAGCGCCAGGTGCCACATACAGTCACTGAGGTGTCACTCAATCCTTGGCTGGTCACTGAAAAGTCTCTTGCTCAAAGCATTTTGTTTCTCTCATGAAAGTGCCTTATTGGGCCACTGTGACAGCTCACCTGTCCTGCCCCGGTGTCCATACACTCTTGGTGCTCCTGCCGTGTCTTACCCCACAGCAGGATCAGGTGTTCCCTGGGGCTTGTGGTTCACGAATAAAGGAACAAACTCAAACATCACCGAAGTCTCCTTGTCACTGAGAGATTTATTTTCAAAGAGAACTAGATTCAGAAAGAGATCTTCCTATTTTGCTTTTACCTAGCATTTATGTACAGTTTTCTGACTATGAGGGTAATATATGTGCCTTGTATATGCATAGAGCAAACATCTGGAAGGAAATACCTCCAGATGTTAACAGAGGTGATCATTAGGGGTGGAGTACATGGGATTTTCCTTTTTGTCTTTTTACAGTTCTGTATTGCTGTATTTTTAAAATGTGTATGTTATATTTGCATATTACCTTTGCAATCAAGAAACTGATTTATATAAACTCAAAAAAAAAAAAAACCAAATTCACTGCCATCAAGTTGATTCCGACTCATGGTGACCCCTTTGGTTTTCAAGGTGGTAAAACTTTACAGAAGTAGATTGCCCAGTCTTCCTTCCACGTAGTGACTGGTGGGTTTGAACCGTCAACATTCTGGTTAGAAGTCAAACGCCTTAGGCACTACACCACCAGAGCTCCTTGTATAATAATGAAAAATTAAGAAATGCATAATCAGGAAAATGGATTTCATAAGTACAGTATGTCCCTTAAGATCATTCACAGTATAAACAAATACAAATAAATACACACACAACATGGAAGTGGCCTGTATTCCCAGCACTTCGAGTCCAGGGCTAACAGGTCAGAGGACTGACTGCCCTCTGCTTTTCTGAGGGTACAGTTGGCACACCTGGAGCATGCTGACTATGCAGCTGTGTGTCTCCTTTCCATTCGGAATCCACATCTGAAGGCGTTGACCCCTGCATGTAGCTGAGCTAAGGCATGCCCTGGAGTTGGGAGCACCTTGAGCTGGCAGCCGGCAGGATGATGACGCCTCAGCCCCTTGGATTGTCTTAATTGATGGGAGGCTACAGCCTGCTTAGGACATCACTGTACCTGTGAGTCTGGTGGTTTAAAATGTGTTCAAATTAAAATGTTCCAGCTATTTATCATTCCTCCCACCCAAATTTGATGAATTTGACTCCCATTTTCCCAGTTAGAATACTGTCTTATGTCCAGCCTTTCATGGGACATGGGAATTCTGCTCTCACACTGATACCCGGCCTGTGGTGGTATTTGTTCACAGTTGCATGTGGGACCGTGTGCTGGGGGCAGCTGGACAGCAGTAACAACTCAAAGACATGCCTCCTCCTTGGAAGCTGAGTTTGAGAGTGGCTCTGGGATGAGGCCATATTGTTGATCTCTCAAGAGATGGCTATGGTAGGGCCTTATTAAATGTTCTTTTTCCTCAGAAGTGTTTCTTCAATTATATTAAGATCCAGTCACTGTATGTGAATTTTTTGTTAATATAGGTATTGAGGCCAATGATAGCATCTCGTTCCAGTTGACTTATCACATGTGAAGATGCAGGTATTGAATACTGGACGCTGTGTTACTGTAATATGCATGCCTTCTTTATGCATTGAGTGGGACATCACTAAACTTCCAGAGATGTGGAAAAGGTCATTTTAGTTACAAATATAAACCGATTATTTTAGCACAATGGTAAAAACATTCTGGAATTTATTATAAATAGTTGGCTCTGTTAATAGGCTTGCTTGTAACTCTAAAAAGCCAAACTCACTGCTAATGAGTTGATTCCAACTCATAGCCACCCTCATTGGGTTTCCAAGTCTGTAAATCTTTCAAGAAGCAGACTACTTCATCTTTCTTCAGTGGAGCAGTGGCTGGTGGGTTCAAACCACTGACCTTTAGGTTAGCAGCCAAATGCCTTAACCACTATACCACCAGAGCTCCTTTGCCTGTAATCAGTGCTTATAATTTTCAGTATCCATTTTACTCTTTTCTCTATGATAGGAATCCCCAATGTCATGTCCATGAACTGGAAAGGGTTGAGAAAGCCAAAAAAAAATAAGTGTGTTAGGCCAATGACCTCGTATGGGGCATAAATGCTTAGAGCTGTAGCTTTCTGATTCAGTCTCTTTGTTTCATAGTGATTTCCTGATTGTCCGGAAGCCAATTCCCTTGGGCTGGCTGTGCCCAGTCCACTCATGTGAGCTCTTAACAGAGGAGCTGCTCTTGGTTCTCTAGATGAGGGAGTCCTTAGAGTTACTTCCTCTTAAGACCCTGAATGCATTGCATGTGACTACAGAGTTGTACCTAATTCTTCAGATCTCCTCTTAAGTTGCTGCTAGTGAAGCTCTTAGTAGTGAATGACTGGTTTAGAGAGAGTGAGGTTTGTTCTCTTTTCTTTTTTTTTGCTTGGGGCCAGCCCACTTACTTGGCGTGTGCCCTGCTGCCTGGGAAGTGAGTGAGCTCCCATGCAATGGACTGTGAGACACAGGGCCTGAAACAAACGTGGCCTCCTTGTTCCCAGTCTTGGTTTCTCTTGAGAGATTGTGTAGCCAATGAAGAATCGTGTTTAACTATTAACCTGCCTTTGCCTTGCCACAGGTGACTGTAAGCATGCTCTTTTCCCTCTCCTTAGTCTTTCACCTTAAAGTCCCAGCCTCAGCTTCTTGTTGCTGTTAGGTGCCATCCAGTCCATTCCGACTCACAGTGACCCTGTGACAGAGTGGAACTGCCCCATAGGGGTTTCTAGGCTGTCATCTTTCGGGAAACAGATGGCCAGGTCTTTCTCCTGCAGAGCTGGTGAGTGGGTTCAAACCACCAACCCTTCGGTTAACAGCAGAGTGCGTAACTGTTGCACCACTTAGGCTCCTTAGACTCAACTTCAGTCAAACCAAACTCACTGCCATCGAATCAATTCTGACTCATACTGACCCCCATTGGGTTTCTAAGGCTGTAAATCTTTACAGGAAAAGAGTGTCTCATCTTTCTTCCATGGAGCAGCTGGTGGGTTTGAACCATCAACCTTTTGGTTAGCAGCCAAGTGCTTAACCTTAACAACTATACCACCAGAGCTCCTAAACTTACCTCATGCAACGCAACACAACATAACCTCTGCCGTGAAGTCAGAGCTGACTCATAGTGACCTCTCCTTGGCTTTCTGAGGCAGTATCATTATGGAAGTAGATTGTCCAACCTTCCTTCAGACCTTAAAATTGCTCAGTTCACTGCTTTTTTTTTTGTTGTTGTTGTTATGTGCCGTCAAGTTGGACCCGTCTCACAGTGACCCCTCCTTGGGTTTCCGAGGCAGAATCACTACGAAAGTAGATTGCCTCATCTTTCTTCCAAGGAGTGGCTGGTGGGTTTGAACCACCAGCCGTCTGGTTAGCAGTCAAGTGCTTTAGGCACCAGTACTTGAAATATCTCTTCACTCATTTCTCCATCTCTCGGCCAGGCATCTCCTCACAGTGCCTTGAACAATGCTTTGTCTGCAGTGTAAACGCTGTGGAATGAGAGAAAAGCAAGCCCACTCATACCAACGCCAGTGGCACTTGTACAAAGACGTGCCTCTTGTTGTCTTACTGCTATAGGTTTTGTTGTTGTTGCTTTTACACAAATCACATGAAGGGAAGAATAATTAAAAGGAAAGCATTTTCCCATAGAAACAGAATTTGGGGCCCATCTCAAATCTTCATAAGATGACATGCTTATGATCGGATGTATCACCAACCTAATTTGTCAGTCAGAAGGCACGTTCAACTTCATGGAGTGCTGTGACCTGTTATACAGAACTCCAGATTCCAAAATGTTGGAGAAGTATCACTGAGGAGTCACTGGGAATATCACTACGCCTGGTCCTTGTCCTTTTCACAGGTACCTGTTTGACGTGTCTGTGCTAGTGCTCGTCTTCTGTAATTTTAGGGCACGTTGGTCAGATGGCAGAAATGAACCAGCAGGTGTGAGCATGCCTTATCCTTCATCAACACTACTAATAAAATATGCAATTAAACTTGGTTATCGTATATATTACTAACAACGAGCCCTGCTGGTGCAATGATAAGTGCTTGGCTTCTAACCCAAAGGCTGGTAGTTTGAACCCGTTGCTCCTTGGAAGAAAGATGTGGCAGAGTGCTTTTGTAAGGATGACAGCCTTGG